ATACTGGGCGGGCGGCCCGGCCCGAAGCGGTACGTCGTCGAGCACAGGGGCTCCAGGGCGAGGGGGTCGTCGGCGCGGACGAGCACGCTGTTGCCGGAGCAGCGCGCGCGCCGGAGCGACTGGTACGCCAGCGGGCCGAGCGAGCCGTCGGGAAGCACGGCGAAGATGCCGACCGGCGACGGGCGAGGCGCCAGCGGCAGCGCGATGAGCGGGTGGCCCTCGGACTCGACCTGGTACGTGTGTGTTGGCGCGAGGCCGGTGGTGGCGAGGGCGGCCGGGGACACGACCTCGTCGTAGGCTGGGGGCGACTCGGCGGTGGATGTCCTGGGCGTCGAGAGGTCCGCGAGCTCGACATGGTCTCCCTCGGCGTACTCCGGGGGCAGAGCGGCCGGCGTGCTGGGCTGCCGGCGTGCGGCTTTGCTGTCGAGCACTTGCGCGGCCATCATGTCGGGTCGTGTAAGTGGTGTTAACGGGGGCCAAGTGCGCAAATTGTCGCGCGCAACCTCGGAATATTTCCTTGTTCAACTCCGAGGCCAGCCAGCTGTATGTTATCAAAGGTGCTGAGTCTCTCCCATAATGCCATTTCGCTCCTCGAGTTCACGACAATTATATACTCGGAAAGATGAATCGCGCATGCATCGCGTTTCGTGGAGAATCGGCCCCACAATTTCCCGTCGCGAAATACGGCTTCCCGCTGACGGAGGTACCGCCACGACGGGCTCCTCCGTGCCCCCGCGTCCTATTCGCTCATGTCGCCCCAGAAGCGGGGAGCATAACCGTTTTGCTGGGCGATACGATCAATACGATGTCCGGGGATGTGGAGCTGTATCCAATCATACGACAGCGCGAGTGCCGCTGCCCCACAAAGCTTGTTCCGACATTTTAGGCAAGCCATTGAGGTGCATCGCAAGGCGTTGCTGGGCTGGTGGCTATGCTGGTGTGCGACGGGCACAGAAAACGGGGGCTCTGGCGGATTCGTTTTCGAAGGTTTGATGGAAGGAACTTGGGGCTGTGTGGCCAGATGAGGCAAGCGAGGGGCGTTTGGTGATTGGTAGACGGGCATTGCGTGCCAGTGTTATGCAATAAGCTGTTGGTGGGCGAGAAAATAGGGCGGGAAAGACGTTGCTGCCTGGCTGTGACGTAGGGAACACTCACTGACGACGGTGTGGAGGGTTGATGGCTGCGTGTAAGTGGGGGATGAGCATAATGGCACGGATGTGTCTGCGCAAGGAAGCACATCTCCAAGGGATGTTCGATTCGAGTTGCGTAGAAGCAGACACTAGAATTGGTAGTAATTACAACAAATATATCCAATTTCACCCCTTTCAATAGACCTGTAATTCGCATTGGCGCCGCCCCCCCCCAAAACATCATGCTCATAGTCGTCGTCCAAAAAACGTAAGATCCTTGTCCAGTTGTGCTTCTACCCACAAGGGCCACTGGTTGTACATTTGATGCTCGTAGTCCACTCTAGCATTAAGAAACTTCAACCACTTCACAAATCCCGGCGCAGGTCCAGGGTCGGTCGAAGCCGTTGGCCTCTTTTCACGAACGTCGTATTCGCGCTCGGTGATGAATGCCATAATCTGCGACAAGGCAATCCAATGTGCGTGAAGCAGAATCATGCTCTGTCTGTCGAGATTGATAAGCTGCTGGAAGGTGCTATGTGGTAGCATCATCCACCATGCATACTGTCTGCAGCTGGACTTGTATGCTGCAGGTACAATTAGAGTCTCGTAATGGTAGGCAAGATTTTGGAAACAACTAAAAAGCTGCAGCTTACCGTCAAAAGAATTTACGTTGAGCTTCTCTGCAATGCCAAGCAGCTGTTGGCAATACTCAACTTCTACTGGTTCGACACATAGTGGCCGTAGGTTTGAGATGGCTTCGCCAGCGGCGTCAGCCCACCCTCGTTGGATCAAGGGCAAATCTCTAAGATATGGCTCCATCACCTCGTCCTGCCGGTCTTCGAATAGCTGCTCGAAGATGGGTTTGATGCCCTTGAACATCATTTGCATTCCGACAATGAGAATGCCTCGAATAAACGTCATGTACTCTGCCAGACCGTCTTCTAGACAAACAGACTGAAAGGTCAACGCAAAACAAGTGGCGACGAGGGCGTTTGCTTCTTCGTAGCTTGTCTGGCCGCGCGCAGACTCGGAAAGCCGCTTCTTGATGGCTTTGATGGCTTTGATGCGGTGGTTCATCGCGGCTTGGACAAAGGAGCTGTCGGTGGGGACAAGTTCTGATGCGGCAAAGCCCAATATAGCGTGCATCAAGAATTCATGCTATCGGAGAAAAATAAAAGAAAGTCAATATCCCTGTCTTTGTTTAACCTCGACAAGAGCGTGTGTAACGTACGTTATGGGCAATGCACGGGATCTCGTGGGTCCAAATCTCCTCTTGCTTCAATGGATGGTGGGGGTAGCACTGGGTGAGGAAGTGCTGGAAGAATCGCATGTCCTGCAGGCTGAAAAGAGGTACCTGATGGTGAGGCTACTATAATGTTAGTCGTGGACGCTGGGGTGATATGCCCATCTTCGGATACAGTCAATGATGCATCATGCACGGCCCGTGGTTCGTACCTGGTGGGTGATTTGCGGCATGGAGGGGTATTCACACTTCAACCCCGTCTTCACACAATGGCCGCACGCAGGGCGAGTCTCCTGGCACTATGGCGGCGGGTTAGAGTCTCCAGCTCTTCCGGGATTTGGTCGTGCGCGCAAGAGACTGGTGATAGATACCTTGATGCGCCTTCTCTTGCAGTTGTAACATCCGCGTCTGCTCTTGGTATGTCCCCTGCGCTCCAACCTCTGCTTCTGAGCGGATTGGCGGCGCGTGACCGACATGTCCACAGCACCAGACGTACTCCGTCCGTCGGAGCTTGGGGGTGTCGCTTGGCCCGGAGATGACTCCGAAATGGTCCCTGCTGACGTGCTGTGCGATGGATCTGGGAAAGGGATATCTTCCGTTTGCTGCAGGAAGGTTGAATAGTCAAACTCGGAAGGGTCTGGATAGGTGAGGAGCACTGGCGGGAAATGCTGCAGCATTTGGTCCATCTTGTAGAGTAGTTGAGAACCCAAGAAGCGATTTGAAAATCGATGCTTGTACTCGGTAGAAGATTTCGTAACAGTAGTAGTCTGGTTGCTGTTGTGGAAGGAGACTTGGCATTGAAATAAGACAAGGAGCGTGACGATGGGCAAGCGTCAAGTTAACTAGGAGGGGGGCACAGGGTCGGAAATAAGCCACGCCGACTTGAGTCCAAAATCAGACCAAGAAGAAGAGGCTATTCATACTGGACCTGCCTGTTCCTTCGGACCCAGGTTCTGGCTGTGCAGCATGCAGCGTGTAACGTCTGGTGCAACGTGGAGCAAGGCAGGGCTGAGTGAGCACTTTGTCGTCACGTGTAGACGTAACTCGACTTTGCCTGGCAAGGCGCAGTAAACAGAAGCCGGGTTGGGCAAGCTGGGGCGAAAACGAAGCCAATGTGAGCTTTTCCATGTCAAGGGGATGGTTGAGCGTAAGAAAAGGGCTGGACCGGCGGATTGATGGGCCGGGCCTCGTAGCATCGCGCCCAGGAGCCAGCACGAGAGGGACCAGTTGGTCATGACCACACTTGAAGCACCTGGGGTGCCGGCGGCCAGAAGAAGGAGACTTGACAGCAGTGGAGACAAAACGGCGCAGCCCAACATTGAATGCTAAAGGGCCCCCAAGCTGCAGCCTGGGGCCACCCACCGCCTATGAGCGCCACTAACCACCTGGGCACCGCTAGGAGCCACTCACAGCACCGCTGGAACATTCGAAACTTCCAGGTCACGTCAACTCCTCGCCATCAACTCCGCATCTGCAACAATCGCCAGCCATCAAACCACCATCAACGGTCCATACATTCAGTGGCGTTAAGGGAAGAGAATGGGCCAAAGGCCAAAGCTTGCCTTCCAGACTGTCCATGGAACTTGTCCTGGTCAGTGCATTTCCCAGTGCCTGTCAACTTGACGCAGTAGTGGCTGTGGCCTCCATGTGCGGTTTTGCGGCCGCACCAGACGTCACTTGAGTACACAAGTCCTGTCTTCTCCGGCATCTCACCACCAGACCGACTTCTCAAAATCACGGAACAATCACTGGCTCGTTCGAACGGTGGCTGTCATCGTGCTGGCACCAGCTGGGCGTGAGCAAGGATTGCCCAAGCATCCGGCGAAGCTTTGAAGCTTGGAACCTGGGATTTGCAAGACGTCGTGCGGCAGGAATGCCTGTCACTTCCGAATCGGCAAAAATCCCCTCGTTATAAGGCTGTGATATAAACCAATAGGGAGCCCTTCAGCCGTTGGGACACCAGCCGGAGTCATGGGACACCAGCCGGAGTCATGGGACACCAGCCGGAGTCATGGGACACCAGCCGGAGTCATGGGACACCAGCCGGAGTCATGGGACACCAGCCGGAGTCATGGTGTCCAAGCTTCGCTATGATCTACATTCCATCTCCATATCCATCATCCACACCGAGACCTTTGATTCGGTCCATGTCAGCGTTCAAAGCAGCCGACAGCCAACTCAACAACCAATCGAGTCAACCTGCCCTCAAATCCTGGCTGCTGCTCCCCGCCAAGAGAAGTATCAGGACGCTCCGGAGTACAAACCCGTCACACTCGCTCACGAGCAAACCCAGGTCGCTTGGACCAAAGGCTCATTTGCAAAACACACCTCGACGCAGGAACGAACGAGAAAAAGGTCCTGGAAGACTGAAGACCCATCACTGGACCGTGCACCCGATATCCAGCCACGCCTGACTCCGTCCAACAGGACGCCTTGGGGTGTAGCTTTTTTTCTCAAAATATCTGTCAATCTCCGAAATGGTGCCGTTTTCAATCCTCTATGATTCAGTCAGCGTCCACTGGCTTCTTGGAGCTAGCCAGGGTGGGCTGCTAGCAGTCCAAAGCAAACTATACAGCTTGCTTCTACATTTCTCCTCAGATACAGCCTCTTCTCTTAAGGGGTTTGATTACACGCTACCCTAAGACGATATACAAAGCCCTACAGACTTTTAACCTAAGTGGTCGTTCAAAGTCATGCATCGGCTGCTTTTTGTATGATGAGTAAAGTCTCGCAGGGCGTCAACTTCATCCTTTTACTGCGACTATTCTTTGTCACGCTAGATACAGTTGGGACCCCTTGGCCCTCATACGAATCAACTCCCAAAAAGGAGGAAAAGGAAACTATTCATAATACCGTCTGGCAACGGCAGATGGAGTTGGTAAATTTGGGTGCAGCCCCGTGGCCCAATTTGATGCACGATCATGGCAACCTGCCAATGAGAGAGACGTTCCCGCTTTCGAATCACTGACTTGACTGTGTCTCTTGACTAAATCTTTCCACCACTAGACCATGAAGGGACTATGGCTACTTGTCATTTTGCATTAATAGCGTGATTCCGCTGGTTAATTTTGTGGTTGACGAACTTTGGAGTTGTTCCGGCGGGGAAAGTACCGCAGCCAAGTCATCACAGTTCGTTGTTAGCCAGTCCTTTGGAGCTGCAATTTTGCTGTGTTTTTGCATTTTCCCTCCATAGTTGCGTTCGATCTTCCGCAACCACATACTTGACTTGTGAGTAAAGGGGCCGGGGGGGCGCGGTAACAATCGATTTGCAAGTCGCATCAAAACTCATGCCGAGCTCCGGTGCGGGATAAGGCTGCGTCGGTTGATTGATTGAACACGCATTAATTGCTGTATGCCAATAAATTAGATATCGGAAGTCCGGACGACCTACCAGCCAACATATGAGCGACCACATACAAGATTGAGAAAACAAGAGACTGGCGAATTGGTGAGCTGATCCTTGGCACCTCCGCCGCAGCATTGCTAACAATCTTCTCCAGTTACACCAAAGGTCGAATCGCGCGAGAACAGCCACAAGGCGGCATCTAGGCCTGGCCCGTCATCAGGTTTGGGCCGGGCTACAGACGAGTCATCCAACAGACAACCTGACCATTGGTCATATGTAGCTAGGCGAGAAATCCTATCGTGTTAGACGTTTGCTCGGCAGTCTCAGACATTTCGGCACCTAGTCCATCATCAGCTCCATACGAGAATCCTTGTCTACTTCGTATCAATGAATGGCTTAAAGAGTCAACTTCCTGCGCAGCAAGATGACACAGACGTGAAGATGGGATCCAGTTTTCCTTTTTTTTTTTTTTAAGCAGCTGAGAGGGCTGCGAATCAACTTACATAGCCAGCCTCCAGCCTTGTTTAGTATGTATAAGTGAAATTCTCCAGCCCCTCCAATACCACCTGCCCCCTCTTCACCTTTTTATTTGCGTACCAGAACCAAATGGACAACCCACCGGTGCAAAGCAAGATACAAACGTTGCAAGCAATGGACGCATAGATTCCCGGAAGATATCTGGGCTGATCCTGGCTCCTAAAGACCAAAGCGCCGGCGATTCCCCCGATACCACCAAAACCGACCAACGTGGCACTGCAGAATGCGCGTTTCCAGTGCCCGCGAATATTGTTAGCTTGATAGGTCAACACGGGGGGCGTGTTCCCACTGGCTCCCGCCACGACGAAGAAGACGCCCGTGTATCGAACGGGATACGCATGATGGAATGCCATGAGCATCAGCCCAACGAGCGCGAGAATCGCGTTGAAGGCTATAATAGGGCCTCGCAGACGATACCGGTCACCGAGCCAAGCTTGTGCGTACATGAGCAGACCTGTAAAGACCCACGGCGGCACTACGAGGCATTGAGATTCTGCAACAGAGAAACCTAACGGCAAAAGATAAGACGGGGGAAACGAGGAAGTAGACACGCGGGGTCGAGAACTAACCCATTCCGAGGAGAATCATAGGAAGGAAATAGTTGATGGAGTAGCCTACAGTCGTGACGCAGAAGAATATAAACGCAAAGATCCAGATTTTAAAGTCGGCAGCAGGTGCAAGAAACGCGCCGAGAGAAAAGGGTTCCGTCACAGCATCTCCCCGATCACGGTTGACGCGGCGGATGATGAAATCGCGCTCCTGTCTGGTGATGAAGTTCCACGACTGGTCGGCCTCTTCCGGAAAGCCCACGAGGAAGACGTACGAGGCGAGGGCACCGACGCAAGAGAGGACGCCTTCAATGATAAAGATCCATCTCCAACCTCTCAAGCCCGCCAGTCCGTTCATCTGAGAGAGACCAAAGGCCAGAATACCGCCAAGCGCACCGGCGACGCACCCGACGCCGTAAAAGACGGTGTAGCGCTTCTGCATGTCGAATCTGGTGTACCAGGTGCTCAGCAGATATACCGCCCCGGGGAAGTAGCCGGCTTCGAAAACACTAACATTGTTTTCATTAGTACCTCTACACAACTCTCTGGACGGAAATGGTTTGCCCCTGCCACCCTCCCTTATGCCCATTCGAGTTTTTTTTTTTTTTTTGCGGTTGGCCCCGTTGGTGTCTTTTCATACCTCTCTCAAGCCCGCCAGTCCGTTCATCTGAGAGAGACCAAAGGCCAGAATACCGCCAAGCGCACCGGCGACGCACCCGACGCCGTAAAAGACGGTGTAGCGCTTCTGCATGTCGAATCTGGTGTACCAGGTGCTCAGCAGATATACCGCCCCGGGGAAGTAGCCGGCTTCGAAAACACTAACATTGTTTTCATTAGTACCTCTACACAACTCTCTGGACGGAAATGGTTTGCCCCTGCCACCCTCCCTTATGCCCATTCGAGTTTTTTTTTTTTTTTTGCGTTTGTCCCCGTTGATGCCTTTCCATACCTGGACGCACTCTACTTACCCTACCAAGACGCGGAGCCCTGCAAGAGTCTGCCAGGAATCGACGAAGCCATTCCCAATCATGACCAGGCCCCAAGCCATTGCGATTGAACTCAGGAACAACCGGGGCCCGATCTTCCGGGTAAGAACCGTGCCGAGGGGCTGAAAAAGAGTGTAGGTGATGAAAAACGCCGAAATGACAATGGAGTATCGGGCGCCGGTCTGAAGCGCAAGATCGCTGTTGAGATGCGCGAGGGCAGCGGTGGAGATGTTGACGCGGTCCACGAGTGATATAACATAGAGGCAGGCCAGTACGGTGACGAGTCTGAAGTCACTAGATTCCATGAGCCGCTGACGAGGAAGGAAAAGAAATTCAGCTCGCGGGGAGACAGTGATTGAACCAACATGCGCCGGATGATCCTCTTTTGTTCCTGAAGCGAGTACACCTCGTCCTCGTCTACATTGCGGTGGGCCTGGAGAGACGGCACGGCGATTTGCCTTTCTGTGTGGGAGCTTGCATACTCTGGCTTGGCCATGGTCTATGGCAGGCGGATTAGTGTAGAAGAGGGAGAGAGGGGAAAAAATTCTGCAGAGCAAAGGGCTTGTATAAAGACCAGCACCCATAACAGAAGATTGGGTTTATAACATGGCGGTTTACGCTTTCGTCAGACACACCCCCGGGGGGGTACGGCCAACGTAGCTGGTGGCTCGTGGCGTGGAAGGCTGGCTAGTCGAAGGATCGCGGCCACGTGTAAGCACCCGGTAGCATGGCAATTTCAGCTCCCGAAGCCACCCTGGACCCCCAAACATTGAAATATTGGTCTTGGGGTATGCAGCCGGAGCATCCATGGGGGCGGCACGTTGCAACCGGGACGAGGCTTGGGTCTGCGTGCTTGATAAAACGCCGCAATGCTATCTCACTGCTGCTGATGTGGTTTGCCACGGGAAATCTACGTTTTGCTCCAGCGAGCCCCAGTAGCCTGACAATACAGGCGGCATAGAACGATACTTTGCGGCTGGCCATGAATATGACGAGTGCCTAATCTACTTGAGAGTACCTAGTAGGAAGCTGACTAGTCTATGGCGGCGGTAGTGTTTTTGCCATGTGTCTGTGAACCCCATTTGCACTGCGCCAAGGCCGGAAACTCAAATAAGCTTGAAACACCCATGTTGCATATTTCCTGTGTGTCTTCATTCGCCTCCAATGAAATTCATGGCCCAGGTCCTCCACTGAAGGGCTAGAGCTGCTAGAATATATTGGATTTGCAGCCAAAGACTGCAATTATCGCGAACAAACTCATCTAAAAAGCAGGCCCCGCCGTGCACGCTCAAGGTCCCGGAGTTGTGTTGAGTTTTCGCATCTCCCCGTGCACTCGGGAGGCCACGGTCAGGATAGCATCCTTGCAGCGGCCGAACGCACCGGACTTGTCTGGATATAGCGCACAGTATCTTGACGAGAACCTCCTGAATATGCGGCCGCTGTCTGGGCACCCGCCTGCTTGTGGCGGATTCGCAGTTCTGTATTGCATGAATAAGAGCCTGTGCGTCGCTGGACCAGGCAGTGTGGTTTTCCTCGTACGGATGAAGCAGCGTGTAAGACAGGTAGTCGGACAGCGTCCCGTACGTGATCAACTGACGATAGAACTGCGGGGTGTGGACTCTTAGACTGAGCACCTCCCGGGAAGGTTGCTGGACAAGACGCAGGTGTAAAAGACTGTAGCCGTTGGAACACGATTTTCCCCCATCCTGCCCCTCACGACGAGTCAGTAATCTGTGCTTGTCAGGTGCCGTGCCAACAAGGTATTCCATGTACTGGACAAAGACGGACTGCAGAAAGTTTTCTGTGGCAGTCGGTCGTCGTGGTAGAGCCGACGGACTCGGTTCTGGACGGTACCAAATCTCCAGCTTGTGAACCCGAGCCAGCACGATTGCCTGAAGCAGGATTTTCATAACTGCACTCTCTCCCCTAGTTAGCATCCTATCCCACTAGAGGAGCAAGTGGCCAATGAGGAATGCCCCTACATGTTGTGAGAATGCTTGAGCCCCAACACGTAAGAAGCCATAATGCCTGGGTTGTCGATGGCATTCGTGGATCCATCGCAGGCGCGACTGACCACCAACGAGCTACCAGTTTAGGACGGCCCTTGGAAGAGCGCAACGTGATTGCGACTGAGATTTCCCCCTCGTTGGCGGGATCCAAGGTCGAGAGCGTGTACGCCCCTTTTCTAGAATTAAACGGGGACACGTGAAAGTCCTTGCCAAGGGTCTGCCTGAATACGCCAGGGCTACCAGAGCCCGGAAATAGATACATGCGCCGCTCGTCAAACGTATTATTCACCTCTGCGATGACGTACTTGAGGCTCATGTCTGCCGTGTAGAGGTACCAAAACGAGGCTGGGTTGAATGCGTAATTCAGGAAGCGAGGCGAAGTGAGGAGGTACACGTAGGGAAAGTCGGCTGGGTTGAGGCCCTGTTTGCGAAATGGCCAATTAGCCACGGGGACAATGTCACGGGCCGTCCCAAGACTCTGCGTTCTGTACCTGTAGTTGGAGGTATGCGTCGATATTCTCAGAGAGCGTGGCCCCGTCTCGCCCACGATTTAAATGGTCCCTGGGCGAAACGTGAAGCCAGCCCCTTTGCCACCATGATGCGGTGTCGACGGAGAGCAACCAGCTGGACGTGGGAGACCGCACGGGGATGCCCACCGACAAGTACGGATAGGCAAAACGGTGTGTTTTTGGAAACAGCCGACGGTGTGAGATGTTGCATCGAATAATTTGCGTCTTGTGGATGGAAACACCACCGCCGTGTTTGGCTGCGAGCTGGAGAGGGAGCATTGTAGGCTGGGAAACATTCATGTCAGCTACTGGGTAGACGGAGAGGCAAGTTACCCTTATAGTTTTTCATATTTGAATAAGAAGAGGCAGACTGACAAAATCAAATATACCTACCGAGGAGTCCGCTGCATGATTGCTTCGGTGTTGCATTGATTTTATGTCCACGACTCACACCGGTGCATGTTCTAAACCCTAAACGTGCTTACTCTGTAGTTACGCAAAGCTTCCTCAAGTTGGTTCCACGTTGGTTTTAAATCCTCCATTCTCCAGACACAGTGTTAGCCGCGCTTACTCACACAGTCCGCACGGAAGGCCTATTGCTCCAGATATGACTGCTCGTATTTTATTTCTTTTCATACTACGGAGTACCTAGATAGTTTTCTGTCTTGTCCTTTTTTTCCCCCAAGTACCTTGAAACCTACTTGTACTTGACTCACGACAGCGTTACTCACGCGGCAGTAGGCTGATATGGCGTCTGAAAAACACTTTGAACACATTCCTCCCTTCCCTGACGATGTCCCGGTCATCTCCATCGACACCATCTCCCTGGCAGGCTTACGCCTAGGCAACGGAGATGCTGCTCAGCGCATGCTAGCTGCTTGCCAGGAACTGGGATTCTTTTCCCTCAGTCTCCGCGGGGACAGCTTGGGGGAGGCCATGATGGAAGACATTGACCAGCTTTTTGATGTGGGCAAGGACATCATGAACCTTCCCCAGCATGTCAAACAGCAATATCTGCACGATATCCCGAGAAGCTTTCTGGGGTAAGCCGACTAACTACTCCGTAGTATCCCCGTTTCCTCCCCCCTCTCTTCCCGCTTCCCCACAGTTTCTGTCTGTCTGACGGCGCAGGGACAGATTCAAGCCTCTGGGTCACGCCAAGACGGAAACAGAGGAGCCAGACCGCTTCGAATGGTTCAACCTGGGTCAGGACGGTCTCATGGGTACCGCCCCGCTTCAACCACTCCCGCATCTCGTGCACAGCCATCTCGCCCTGTTCACCTCGTTTCTCAAGCACGGCCAGTCTTTGCTCACGGCAATATGCTCTGCCCTAGAGGCCCAGCTCTCTCTGCCAGAGGGCATTCTCACGTCCCCGCAGACGCCTACGAAACCCTCGGGGACCGTCATCCGGCTCATAAAGGCCCTTGCCAGCCCGCAGGCTGAGGATCTGCGGACGAGCATGATCCACCACACGGATTTTGGCACCATCACGCTTCTAGCAAATGTTATTGGCGGCCTGCAAATCCTGACTCCTGGAGGGTCTGCCACGGATGAGAGCGCCTGGCGCTGGGTGCGTCCCCAGCCAGGCTGCCTGATTGTCAATCTCGGGGACGCCATGGTGCAGTGGACCGGCGGGATCCTGCGCAGCAACGTGCACCGCATTCGATACCCGCCGGGCCAGCAGCGTTATGTTGACCGGTACAGCCTGGCCATTCTCTTCAGGCCAGAACGGGAGGCAAGCATGAGAGACAAGACGGCCGGAGATGCTGGCGACGTGGAAGACGGCAACTTGACCGCTTGGGAGTGGGAGGTGAAGAAGGCCATGGCCTTGGCAAGGGGAGACGCGGTCGTGCAGAGCAAGGGCGGGAAGCCACGCAAAGGTCTAGACTAAGCATGATATTGAACATTTACTACACAGTGGTTGCTTCCTTGTCCCATGGATGAACCAGCGCCTGACGGCTTTCCTGCTGCTCGTGCGCATCAACCATGTGTGCCCGTATATCGATGCTGGTCTCCATATGGACCACCCGACTTCCCTTTGGAACGCGGCCGGGAACAGCACTGAGCGGGATTTCATCCTCATTACAAACCGGCTTGGCGTTGGCAGGCCGCGCACTTGCCCGCGCGAAGCCCTTGCGGCCCGACCCCGAGTCGACGCTGCCCGTGTGGTCAGAGGCCTTGGTAGTAGAGCCGCCGCGAGCGCCCCGCGACCAGAGGGCATTCGTTTTATTGCGCACGCTGCGGACAAGATTGAAGGTCGCGGGAAGGTCGGCGATGACTTGGGCAAGATTGCGCTCTATAATCGTGCAAAGGTACACCCGGTGCAGAGCCCAAGTGAAGTCTGGCTTGTAGAAGTCGCCGTCAAAAGCAACGCGAGTAATAGACGAGGCAAAGACCCTGTACACCCTGTCAGCATGAGATGTGTCTCGGGGCAAGAGCAAAAGAATGGGGAAGCGAAAAACAGAAAAAAGAAGAAAAAACACATACAACAGCCCCGATCCCGTTAATCCAATAATAACGAGCCGCTTCCCAAGACTCATCTGGAGCCTTCCAATAAAGTACACGGGCGATATGGCGTAGAAGAGATCAGTGATGCTATTGATGACTGGGAGCAGCCCCGGGCTTGTCAGCAAAACAAGACGTGACGGAACAAAAGACAAAAGGGGGCGTTTTCCTCACTGGTAAAAGCAATGATGGACGTGACCAGGGTCCTGACGCTCTTCACCTCGCCGGGGACGTCGGGCTCCCACAGCTTCCGGAGCGGGTTCGCCTGGAGACCCCAGAATATGCCCTGGCAGGTGCTCGCGGTGGTGGTGATTGCGATGAGGGCGTACACGACCCAGGCGGTGCGCCGGTGGACGCCCTGGATCAGGGCTAGGATGAAGAAGCAGACGGAGATCTTGACGGCCCAGAGGGAGATGTTGGCGAACAGGATGTTGTACTGGCTGAAGCGCCGGACGGTGAGCACCTGCTCGTGGGTGAGGAACTGGAGGTGGCGGCCGAAGCCGGACTGGACGGACTGGATCTCGAGCATGTTGGCGGTCAGGTTGAAGGCCTGGACGGGTATATATGAGTCTTTCTTGGCCCGTTGTACATTATATATATATATATACGTGTGTCTGTGTGTGTGGTGTAGAATGTATATTTTCAAAAAAAAAAAAACTCACAAAGGCAATGACGATAAAGTAATCCGCAGCCCCGAGACCAGCTTTGGTTGCGAGGAGCTTCATGGCAATGCGCGACGTCGTGGACACGCTGATGAGCACGGAAAAGACCACGCACAAGACCAGGACGACGCCTCCGTTACTCTCGTCAACCAGGGACGGGTCAAACTTGATGAATCCATTAGACATGTCGGTGTGTGTACAATAGCTGCCAAATCAAACTCGCTTTGAAAAGAAGAGAGAATGAGCGCCTTGAAAAAGGCTAGATCAGTACGAGTCTCGACAGTCTCTCCAAGGGAATTGCAGCGCTGAAAGTGAAGGTGACGATGAAAAGAGCTGATGGCAGGTCGTAAGGGGGGAATGTTGGCCCGGCGTTCTGGCAGTTGAGTGTGTTGATTCTCATCTGGCGGCATGGTCCGTTCCGGCAAGAAGCCAAGACACAAAAAGCATCAAGTGAGACTTGTTTCGCCGACGGATCGAGTTGTCGCCTGCATGGCGAGGGTTTGCCGCCGATTTCGTGGATGGTTGCAGTGAGTGAGAGCTTTCTAGGCCTATGGTGGCAGTGAGAAGCTGTCGACAACATTCAACACGAGTCAAGGCCGCATCGGGCCTTTGGCAGAGACAAACGTCGATCGACCATGGCGCCGGCCCCCACGAATCTTGTGGTGAATTGGCGACGGGTGGCGAGATGTGGCAGCCTGCAAGTGTGCATCTGCATTTCTCGAGTAGTCGTGCGGCGAGGTGTGAGGCCGGGCGCCAATAGGATCCCGCACACGTCGACGGCTTGGCATCTGGGATAAGTCAGATTCCGTCACGTTGCCGTCCTCTCCACCAATCCGAAGCAATGCGACGCTGACAGCTGACTGACCCTACGTGACTTTGCAACAAAAGTAGGGGTTCACCGCAAAATGTGCCTCCGATTATGGAGGTGATGGCATTCATTTTCAGAGGATGGGGTGCCGCTTTTGGAGGATAATTGCGAAGCGCTGGGGGCTTAATGAAGACCCCACCCCCGCTATGAGCGCCACTCGGCCCGGGACCCACGGCACGGCGCTTGCCTTGATTACGCGGGGATGTACTCCGTACTCCGTACACTAAGTGGCTAGCCCACCGTTACCGCTGACGGGTCTGGTGGTAAGCAGTACATGTATCCCCTAAAAGACTACAACTACATAGGCATTGGATCCACTTGAGTCAGGTGCAATCGCCAGCCAAGTCTGGCCGGAAATAGCAAGAGAGGAATAAAATTACCCCGGTTACTCTCCTCCTCGCGACTATTTTTCTCGTGACGCGCACTACAACCGTGCGTGTCTGAACCAGCAGTCCATTTTGCTCTGCCGCAGTCGACTTGGAAATCCACCAGCGAGGCTAAGCCTTCATTGAGAAAGACGGCTGTCTAAAATTTAACTTTATAAAACTTATTATTTAAGGACTAAATTACTAATATTTTTACGCTACTATTAAAGATTATATTAGCACGTTCTCTTTAATAAATATAAATTAACTTAAAGTAATTTTAATACCTATTAAATACATTTAACCGCTTTTCTTAAACTATTTCTTACGAGTATTAAAGCTCTCTATTAAAGTATTATAAAAAGGAATTAAATTTATTAAGTTATAGCGATTTATTAGCTAAACTATAAATTAGTAATTAAATATTAAATAAAGTCTTAATTTATAAAATTTTTGAAAGTAAACTTATATTCTAATATAGCTACTTATATAAGCTATAATATTAATAGTAGCTAGATTCAAGGAATTTATTTCGTGAGGTATAAGATAACACTCGCTAAGAGATTACAAGACGTAAAAGCTTTTAATAAGACATGTGTTTACATCAAATAGAATTAGGTATTCGTTATTTACACTCTCTTAGTCTTGTTCATAATAACACTAACCCGACAAATGTCATGGTTGATGACAGTGATTGCCCAGTTGTAATTTTGCACCTGCTACCGCCACGGTCAGAAGCTAGGTCCCAAGACCGGTACGTGGGGTTGGTTTACGGAGGGGTCGGAATTTGCGAGGTACGAGAACGACTCCTTTAGGCTTTTAAAGCTCCGAGAATATATGCTAAAGTAGACCTTTTAATTGTCTTGCGGAAAGGTGAACTTCTTTTGTCGGATAAGGCTGCCTCTGTTGATTGAACAAGTAGACCTGACGTAATTGCTGGATATCACAAAATCATCCATGTCTGGAGTTTAAACGACTGGCCAGCCAGCCGATGGAAATTAGGGTGGCTGAGAAGTCTTCTAGACTCAAGATGAATAACATGGAATCCTCCTGAAAGATGGAGGCGAAAAACGAACAAGAATGATTTTTAATCAAGAAGCCTAGTTAACAATGGGTCTCGTAACGCGACAGATCTCCCTGACGTAACGTATTAGTAGCCTACTTTCAACTTGGGCGGGAGCTACATTCAAAGTGGTCAATGTTGCATGCCAAAGTAGGGGCAACGACAAGTCCACCAAGAACACTTGTAACGGCAGAAAACTTCCAACGCCGTACACAATTTGGCCCACCGAGGATACTCGTCTCCCCCCTATCCCATCACGCAAGCTGCCTGGCTCTAAACTGGACAAAAGGACCGCTCTCCCAGCTAGCAATGGAATAGTGGCTCTCAAACGTCAACTCCGACTCGGCACCCTCCTCGGCCGCAGAGTTGGACACGAGATGAGGACGGAGGGTGCGCTGCTCGCGGCCGAAGCGAAAGTCGTAGTTGACCAGCACCCAGGCATACGCAACGCTGACCATCATGACGGCCACGTGGCTCCCGGCGCAGTTCCTCGGGCCGATGGAAAACGGCGTGAACATGCCCTTGGCCCGGCAAAACTCGTCCTCGGGCAGCGTCCCCGGGATCCAGCGCTCCGGCCAGAACCTCACGGGGTCGCGGTATATCCTGGCGTCCCTGAAGACGGAGAAGAGGCTCACGCCCACGCCGCACGCCGGCGGCACCAGCCGCAGCACCTCGTTGACGACGGCGCGGAGGTACGCGCTCGACGCGAGGCCGGCGCCCCAGGCCACGTCCTCGCCGGGCACGTACCTGCCTCTCACGTCCGCGGCGAGCTTCTCGTAGACGCGAGGGTAGTGGCAGAGGTAGTGGAACAGGCCCGAGAGCAGGATGCCGTATGCGTCGGCGGCGGAGAAGGTGCTGAATGCGCCCTCGGCGACCATCTGCTCCCGGTCGTGGCCGCGGCCCGGGCTCTTGCTCCCGAGCGTCCCCTGGCCGCTCTGGATGACGGGGCCGAATATCCCGCGGCTCTCGGCCGCGTTGGTGCGGACGGCGAGGTCCATGAAGCCGTGGTACCATTGGGAAAACTTGGCCGCCCGCGGCGAGACGTGGGGGAGCACGGCGCCCACGAGCCGCCCGATGCCCGCGTTGCTGAGCATGGGCAGCTGCTCCCAGAGGCCCATCTTCTTCTCGTGCATGTGCAGGGCTGGGAATATGTACTCTCTGGCGGAGCTGCGCAGCAGGTCCGTCTTGAGACCTAGCCCGAAATCCGCCATTGTGTCAAAGCCCAAGTAGAGATCTGGAACACGTCAATCAGCACTTTTTTCCCCTCCTCTCTTTAGACCATTTGGGTGTATTTTTTATACATCATGACGTACTCCATTTTCGCATGTCGGCCGCAGCAGTCCAGCCGTCTGGGTCCTGGTTTTTCTGAAGCTCGCCAAAGTAAATCTTGAGATGCCGGAGGATAGCGGGCTCGAAGCGCGACAAGAAATCCGCGCCGAGGCCGGACCTCACTACTGCGCGTAGATTGCGGTGCAGCGTCTTGTCGATCGACGTCATGGTGCTCCAGCCGTTGGGAGTTGGTATCATGGTTGCGTAACCCTTTGCTTTTCGGAACGGGGCGCCGTGGCTGTATATTGCTTCGCTTTGTGTGAGCGCAAAAGGTGCGACATTTCTTTCTTCTTTTTGGGTCAGGTTTCTAACCATTCATATCCGGAGGATGAAGTGAGAGTATTTGATTTGGCGCATATCGTATGAGGTCGCCTGCGGATGGATGGGCATTGTTAGTTGGCTCGCACAAGATGCAAAAGTTACACCACATACCGTATTTGCGGTGGCATCGTTGCACGTCGAGGTGCATGGTGCCTCTCCACGAGTGCCATGCTGAATACACGCTCGTTACTTTTGCAAGCAAAGGCCCGGGGACTTTGCTATATGGGTGGAAGTAAAGTCTCCGGATGACAGTAATGACCACCTGGACTACTTAGTTGTGGGCTTCAACGCTGGAGCAGGGGCAAAGACATACGGAAGATATGGCCGCCGCAGCGATTAGAGCAGCGTACAGAGATACAGAACAGCCGAATGGTCCAAACATCGTGTGCAGACTCTGTTTTAACTGAGCAAGGGTTGTAAACTAACAAGAGATGGATGCATCGTACGGCAAGATTCCACGACGGAAAGCTGTTTGGTTTTATTCGCTGGTAGAGGCCAATACGCATCTCGTTGGCAACCAGTGTAACATCTTTTTTGTCTTGGTTCTTAGCTAAGCCTGATCTGATAACTACTTGCTTACGGCAAAAGGCATCGAACCAGGCGTGCCGTTTACGAATATAATACGCCCAAGTGACTGGGCATACTTGACTTTTGATTTTTATTTCCGTAACTTTAGACGCCACTAGAGGCTTCTTTGAACTCGCCAGGCAACAGAGTCACCGAGCCACGTACAGAAACTGCCGTTCATACCTGTCAGTATTGGATTTCCACACCTAATTATAGTCATGTTAGTAAGCCACCATTTCAGAGTTCACAGGAAAGGTCGTCAAGCCGCGAGACCCTGTTCACAGTAATTCCTTTCCTTAAGATTCTCAAGCCACTTTGAAAGCCGCCCGACAGCAGCCGGTGTCTTTTGGCCCCCAATGACGGCAGGTCAGCATGTGCGTCACATTTCGACACCCCCCTGGACTTGACAGCTGACGTCCTCATCTTGATAGGTCCCAAATTGAGACCATGTATGAGAAATCATCCGGGGGGGAGACACTCTAAAGTTTAAGACCAAGAAAAAGAGAAAAGAGAAACAAAAGCATGGGCGGATAGATAGTCTTGGCTGGCCCAAGTGTAGGCGTCTATTGGCTCTTGCCAGCCTCCCCCGATTCTTTACACGCACAGAAAACACTATTTGAAGCACTGTACTCCGTACGGAGTGCAAATAACCACAAACACCCGATCCTTTCCGATGTGTCACTTGTCAGCGACAACCCGGCATTCTAGACCGAGGTGGGATTCAGTGTCTGACGGGCAAAACGCAGGTGGAGTCTGAACCCAGACACGTCGCCCCGTGATTGCTACCCTCGGCGCAGATCTTCTGAGCACGTACGGAGTACGGAGTAGCTTGGAAGAAAAGAAGGGAAAAGAAGGAGGGACAAGAGAGACTTGTGGGCGCCGGAATTTTCACTGGTCTTGCGCTTGCCACGCCATGCACCTGCAGTGGGAGGCAATACAATAAATAAGTTATTTGCCTACCCGGTGGCGTAGAGTGGCTCAAGGGTGGGCAAATGTACTGATTGACTTTGACTGTGTTCGTGCTTCTGATCTCGTTTGGTACCCTCTGCTTCCAACGCCCTGCCTGGCGGGAGACACCATGACAGACTCACCGAGGCGAGTCGCCATTGTTGGCGGAGGCATCGCGGGCATGGCCTGCTCGTGGGAGCTGCGAAAGCACAGCGCCCGCAACGTCAGAGTAGACATCTATGAGTCGGCGAGTAAGCTCGGCGGGCACGCCAATTCGGTGCCCTTCAAAGGCAATGGCACAAGCGTCGACGTTGACACGGGCTTCATTGTAATGGATGAAGCTACGTATCGTGAGTTGCGAGAAAGAAAAAAAGTCCACGCTCAGCTCGGGGCCATGGTTAACCACCTTCTAATACAGCCCGCTTTAACGCTTTTCTCGGTGATTTAGGCATCGAGACAATCCCCACGGATATGTCCTTTGGCGTCTCGACCACCGACAGAACTTTCGAGTGGAGCAGTTGCTCCGTGGGCAGCTTCGTCGCCACTCTCACGCTGCTGTTGAGCCCCTGGGTATGGCGTTTGATGTTTGATATTGTTCGCTTTAGCCTATTCGCCGAAGATATCCTCTACGAGCGAGGTACTACTCCTAGACGTGGCGAAGAAGAAAGCTGTCTCATGTCAACGTCTCTAGAGTCTATTGGTAGCTACTTAACAAGGCGGGGATACTCCAGTCAATTCACGACTTATTTTTTGATCCCAATGGTTGCTGCTCCTTGGTGCATTGATCCAGATGAGTTTAGCAGGAGTTTCCCTGCAAGACCGCTAATACACTTTATGTAAATAACCCCGAAATATCTTTCTCTTGTACATGAAAAAGAGGGGGGCAAGAAGTTGATACTAATGCCTTCTGAAAAGGAAAAGTCACGGCCTGCTAGATACGGTCACAAAGACACTTCAGTGGCGCTCGTTTCGAAATGGGTCAAGAACGTATATCGATGCGTTCCAAGACAGTCTTCCTCAAAGACACAAGGTGCATCTGAACACGTCTGTACATGACGTGACACGAATTGGTAACGAGGTCTTGGTCAGCTTCTCAGATGGCTCTGCAAAGACTTTTGATCATGTCGTTCTTGCCGTTCATGCCAACCAAGCTGTCACTCTGTTGGGAGACAATGCCACAGCTTTGGAGCGAAGGATTCTTGGTAGCTTCAAAACCAGCAGGAACATATGTTACCTGCATTCTGATACTTCAGTAAGTACAACGACCGCTTAGTTGGACTATGTAGTCTTTTTCTAGCAAGGGAACAGTCCTGTTAACTGATGTCAGCTCCTGCCAGAACGTCCATCAGCTCGCGCGGCATGGAACTGCACGCTTGTGCCTCATCAGTCGACCACGGCACAGGACCATCTGACACAGAATGAACCCAAGTGCGGAAGGAAGCTGTCACTCACATTTGACATGAATAAACTCCAAGGTATTCCCAGTCCAGGAGAGCCCGGAAGTCCGGGTAGGGTTCTTGTGAGCATGAATCCAATACATGTGCCTTGCTCGGTTCAAAGCAGCCATGTGTATCATCATCCCATCATTAACTCAGAGTGCATCCTCATGACGCGCCACCTCCACAAGATCAATGGCACCAGGAATATTAGTTTCGCGGGAGCTTGGATGGGGTTTGGCTTTCATGAGGATGGCTTCGCGGCTGGTGTCCATGCTGCGCGCACCTTCATGGACGGCTGGGATAAGATTCCTCCGTTGGATCTAATAGGTGATACCAGAGGCATGCGGCCGCCTCGGACTGGGTTTCTTAGAGCAGTTCTTCGATTAGGAGTTCTTGTCGTGCAGCAGCTTCTACATCCGCAACCCTGGTTATAACGTGGGTTCTAGCTTGCTGTACCGACAGTCAACGAGGTCGTCCGGAAACATGCTTTTGGAGATGGATGTAATTACGACTAGCTGCAATCGACTTCCATAGACAAAAGAACCTAGGATGTGCTAGTCAAAATCCTAAATTTTAGCCTGGGTGCTCTTTGAGGATTTAGGATGCTCCTTGTCCCATTTCTCCTTCAACTGGTTTGCACGCTCGGATTTTTTCGTGAAGCCTTCGTAAAAAGCCGGAAACCCACCACCAAGTGTGCGAATATCCACCGGACGGCCAGTTTTAGCATCAATGTAGGTTGTTGAACCTCGGACTTGGGCGACAATAGCTTGCTGCTTGAGCGAGAAAAGCACAGTGGTTCCATGGTTTCGTGTAGGCTCTATGCGATCCTGCCGGTAAGCGGCAATTAACTTTGCGACAGAAATTAGTTGAAGGACTGGGTATGAAATATCATGCAAACGTAGCAACTACGAACCGAGTCGGGATATTTAACCTGCCGCCGAATGTCCAGTTCGTACCTGCGTACAACAGGAATAACAGTTTTAGCCTGAATCATGTCGTCGCACTCCTCCTTGCTCAAGAACTCGTCATAGCTTTCCATGACACGCCAGAAGCATGTTCCCAAGAAGCTCATGTACTGGCCTTGCATAACATGACCAAAGGGGTCCTGATGTTCAGCCCAGAGGACCCCATGCTCAATCATGGTATCAGGGTCGAACCCCATAGCCTCTAGAGTAGAGAGCGCCCTGCCACGGAGGGCGGCGTATGGATCAGTGTTGGGATGAGGGCGTGGAGCACCAGCACGCGCATACGGCGAGTGATACGAAGAGTCAGCCAGACGAGCCGACGTCGGTCTGGTTGTGTCGTCTGCCATGGTGAAAGACGGGCCAAGATACGATAGGTGCTGAGGGTCAGCTTCGATCGAAAGAAGATTCTGATGAGACTGTAAATGAAGGAAACGAAGGGCGTCGAGAGACAACAGTTCATGCATCAGCAGAGGCTGTGTGAGCCTGTGAGGCAGCGAATGGCAGAACGAATCAAGCAGGGGTGCTCAGGGAGGGGGTTAGCAGGAGCGGCTCCGAGACAGCAACACCACCAACGGGCGAAGAGGAGTGGCAATTTTGTCAACACATACCACGCGCTGCAACCCTTCAGACATGCGCATCCGGCGACACCCTATCTGCCTGACCGTACAAAGTCTAGTCATGGGCATGAGCAGGTATGCGGATTGGCTGGCTTTGCAGGAGCATTGGTACCGAGTACACAAATTCATTTGCCTCTCATCTCGTGAACTTACTCCGCACAGAGGAAACCATTGGCAGCACGGAGTACTTTTGCACATCTGTCTCTCAAGGATAGCACGGGCACTGTCTTACTCTCCAGCCAACATGTCGACCGATATAGTAGGGATGTTCACATATCGTGAGGCGTGCCCGGAAGTACCTAGGCACAGTACTCCGTAGCCAACTGGAATTTTGATGGTAGAAATCTACTGTGGTATATACTATAGGGTTTGCAAAAATGATTCCGTCTTTCAATCCACGACTTGAGGGGGGCTCTCTCTCTTGCAGCTTCAGTCTCACCTGCCGCCGTCAAGCGCAGCTCCTGTGTCCTTGAATCATACTTCTGGAGTCGATTACTGTCTTTTTTTTCAATAAAAACGGAAAATAGAATGATTGTCACTACTCCAGATGGCGGCCGGGACGGTATGCCATCCACGACTGCTGTGAACGGCAGTCCCGCCATCCAAGATGTCTCGTCTTCGCCAACTTCGCCTCGGATCGGCCGCAATCGATGGCTTCAGATTCTGAGCACCTTTATTGTTTTCATGAATACATGGTAAGTCTGTTATATAACCTTGTCCTCGACTACCTGTCTCGATTGACTAAATGGCTGTCGTCAAGGGGGTTTCTCCTCACATCTGGCGCCTTCCAAGCGCATTACGAGCTGTTCCTCATCAGCGATCAATCCAGCTCCAACATAGCTTGGATATCAACAACATCCGCCTTTTTAGTCTTCGCTGCTGGCGTTGTGACCGGCCCGCTTTATGATCGAGGCTTTTACAAGCCACTGCTGGTAATCGGCAGCCTTTTGCAGGTCTTTGGCTTCATGATGCTTAGCATTTCTACTGAATACTACCAGCTATTCCTCAGCCAGGCTATTTGCATTGGCATTGGCTCTGGCATTGTGTTTACACCAAGTGTATCGGCTGCCGCCGCCTGCTTGCCGAATCCTGCCACCCGTGCCAAAGCGATGGGCCTCATGGCGTGTGGCAGCTGCGTCGGTACGGAACACACCCAACATGTTGTTGTGAATTCTCGTGTCATTCGTGTTTTTAACCTGGTAGACTAGGCGGCATCGTTTTCCCAACCATGTTCCGTGCTCTTGTGCCCCGAGTCGGTTTCCCCTGGACTGTCCGCTCCATCGGATTTCTAATCCTAGCATTATACCTTCTGTTTTATCTAGTGCTATTAGATGGATGGAGCAAAACATCGCGTGCCCTGGTCATCCGGCGCTTCTTCGACACCCCAGCCTTTACCGACCTGCCCTTCATGCTTCTTTCTGTTGCCTCCCTCTTTAGTGCTACCGCTTTTTATATCCCCCTCCTTTACCTGCCACTCTTTACCAAAGTTCGGGTACCATCCATTAGCCCTGATCTAACGGTTGATCTTCTTTCTATACTCAACGGCGTTTCTGTGATTGGTCGACTGGTAGCAGGTCTCGCAGCTGCCATCTTTGGCCCGACGGAGACTATTGCCGTGTCTCTCGTCGCAGGATCCGTCCTGTTGTTTTGCTGGATTCCTGTTGATACAGTTGCTGGCACTATCGTGTGGGCTGTATTTTGGGGCATGGTATCCGGCATCCTGGTTACTCTTCCGGGAGCATTCATACCTTTATTCTGCCCGTCAGTGACCGTGATAGGCTCCCGAACAGGTATGTATTGGAGCTGGGTTGGCCTGGGGATGCTAATAGGCAGCCCCATTGGCGGCGCAATCTACGATGTGAAATCAGCAGGGTCGGACTATTGGCGTCTGCAGGTATTCGCTGGTGTCTTTATGATGGCTGCTGCGCTTCTTACTATTTACCCCATCTTGTATTTACGCCGGAAGAGGCGAACGACTTCTGTGGGCTCAGAGTAGATTGACTCGGTATGTCTTTTATAATCGGTGCAATACTTAACTCTCTCCTCGCGCCGACTCGTGTTATAACTAGCCTGGATTTCTAAACGATCCTACAGCTAATATAACAAGTTTTCGTAAGATAATGGTATTTTGCAAACCCTTTGTAATGTATAAACCAGCTTTTCCAAGAAGCTGCACGTCTAACATTTCATTGCGCCTGGTACAGGACTTGGTGATTGCTTTGCGCATTTCTCCAATCCCAAATGGCGCGGAACCTAATAGCTTGCGGCAAGCATGTTATTCGAAACGGCCTCTAGGGTCTGCCACAGGTGCAAAGTTGGTTATAAATGAATACGCGCAAATCATTCCCGCCACTGTTTCAGCTGATCATCACCCAAGCTGTGATAGTCTCGGCACTGAAGCCACTTTCGAAACATCAAAAGGCCGCGGTATCATTCTGATTAAGAGGCATCCTGTCCGCTCTAATCTGCCCCGGATTCGGGTTATCCGTACCCTGAGCCTCAGCCTCCGCCCTCTTCGCATCGGCCATGGCCCGCATCTTGGAAACATCCCGTCTGCCAGGAAAGAAGCTCTCATCCTTACATGACTTCCCCCACAGCTCAACAATCAACACATACGCCGTCAGACCCAAGGTGGTGGAAATGAGAGACAAGCTGTTCAGATGGCTAGCCATGGGGAGCAAGATCATGATGATACAGACTAGCACGCGGTTGATGAGGCGGACTGGCTTGGAGAGACGCATCGTAGGGGGTGTGCGGTGTGAGTGGCTCAGGGAGATGGCCGCCATTGAGAGCAGGGCGATTGCTAGTCCCTGGCAGTAGAAGAAACGGACACCGCTGCTGAAGTGTTCCTCCGCTCGCACCGAGTAGGGAGGGCGCAGTTGGTCGCGCTCGGTGTTGGGGACGTCGAGGGCTAGGACGAGCGTGGAGAGCGCAGACGTGGCTACAATATAGCCCATTACGAAGGGGAGATGGGCGAATTGCCATAGGATGGCTGCCGTTGTTAGCAACTAATAGAGTCCTGTGCGCGGGCGTAGTGTAGTGGAGTGCCATGGACATACCTCCGTTGGCGGAATGTCGAATTGCGTGTACGTTGATTGTGCTCGCATCCACGTCAAAGTAAATCCAATTGAAGAAAAAGGCCTGCATAAGCCCCAATACCGCCTTTCCCAGAAACGCATTCACATTGTACCCGCCATTGCTCTGGAACAAGATTCCTACGACGGAGTAGCCCAAGACTAGCGAAACAAAGGCGTTCATCCGCTCGACTTTATGCTCGATGTTCATGGCGGGATAAAACTCGAACAGTTTGTTCATCTTCTTGCCCATGGACGTGTCTGCGCCGGCGCTACGGGCGTAGCGGAACAGGCCGATGAAGATTCCTGATCCGTACATATCGAGGGCGAGAGCGGGCCAGATAAGACCTAGACGACCGGGAATTTCGACGTGGATGCTGGCGATCCAGAGTGCTGATGGGACGAGGACGGTGATGGCGGATGTGATCATGGCGCCGCGGACCATGGGGACCAAGTAGGCGATTACGGCGTAGTGTACGGCGAACAGGAGGCGCGCGGCGAGGTAGAATGATACAAGTTGGGTGTAGGTATTGTGGGCGGCATCATCGACAAAGCAGTTGGTCATGTTGGTGGTGAAGCTACAACTGTTAGCTGACTGACGCAGTGAGGTGAGGTTTGGGAGAACGCACGCCAACAGGCAGGCAATTTCGAACAAGATCTCGAGCCTTGTCAGCACATCGTCGGTTTCAAACCAACTAAGCGCCATGGTGATGTAGGTCCAGATCTTCCACGACATGATAAACGTCACGGCGAACCGCAGCAGTTCCTCACCATTCGGCTCCTCGGACATGTGCTCGCCGTTGCTGTGTATAATACCAACTATACAGCTTTTAGCAATCGTGCCCTAGGTCACCGCAAGGTGAGCAGCTTACCGTATAAAAGGTCAAAGAATAGTTCAACGGCCATGATCTCGGTCTGCTCTGACCCTCTCCACAGGACATTCCTATGAAACCACTGCCTCACCACCGGCCGCTTGGCCAGTTTAATAGTTGACGCTTGTCGATACCCCTCGTGATGAGTCTCATTGGCTCGCTCCCTACCCTCTCCAGACCCATTCGCCTCGCCGTCGTCATCATCATATGTTCTTACACCAGCATCGAAGCCGAACTTGCCATAGTTTCCATGCAGTCCAGACCTATTCGTGGACATGCGCGACAATTGAGCGGTTACGGAATTCAATTGGTTCTGGACATCTTCCCACTCATCGAATGCCGTGCCGTGACGCTCTTTAAGCTCTGCACGACGACTCTCATGGTGCTGCCGGCTTTGTTTGAGATAGTTGGCGTGCTCGGCTGATCCTTGAACTACAATCTCGACATCGTCATTGCTGTTGTAGTATTGCCTGCGCAGAGATGGGACTGCGTCTGCGAGCGCGGCAATGACCTTTTTGCCAGAGGGGAGGGTGAATTCTTGGGGTGGTCGACGCCGCCTGCCTGGTGTGGACGAGGACATGGCATGGGCATGTAGATGTGAATATCACAGGGTTGCCAACTGCTCGAGGATAGCTAATAAGAAATGAAGTCACAAAGACGGAATGACACGATGAAATAGGGAATACTCGTTCTTATATGGGTAATGCACATGCTAGAATGTATTTAGCACGGTCGCTCGTTACCAGAAAACGTTGAAGTTGATGCTTATTTGCTGCCCCATCACTGACTAGTGTCCGACTGCCGCCATTGGTGTTCATTTCGACCCTATGCTGTACTACGGTACAGCTCGCAGCAGCAAGGGCTTTTTTAGCGTGAATCATGTGTTGCCCTGCCCCCTGTGTTTAATATTCCGTATTGGATTGGATTGGATTGCAACATGGCTTCAGGAAGGTTTTAGGAGTTTAGGCGTTAAAAGTCAAGAGGGTGGGGACAAGCGAAAATGGCAAAGTGGGCTGTTCGCCGGCCTGACTACTCGTGCCACGCCCCACCATTAGGTAATTCAGCTACAGAAGCTCTCACCACCTATGGTGGTGCTTATCAGCAAGGCGGGTATATTAGCAAGGCGGGCACTTACATATAAATATTACTATTAAAAAATAAAATAATATTAAATAAAATGAATAAAATTATAAAATATATTATATTAAATATATTAAATAATATTACATAATAAAAAATTATAATTATAATTTTATGTATTTTAATTAATTAAATATAATTTTTCTTAAATTTTAAATAATAAATAAATAAAAATATAATATTAAATTATAATATAAAATAAATATATTTTATATAATTTTTAAATATGATTTTATTATTTAAAAATTAAGATCGGAA